ACTTCTATTTAAAAAATAGCTGGCTCCATACCCTGATGCAGCTATCCTTGGTAAAAACCCACAGATCTGACATCATCGATACTTTTGGGTCCCCAATGCATTCCAGATGTTACCTTTACAGTTTCACACAAGACTTCTTCAAATCTCCATACATGGATTGCCTTACTACAGGCCTGGCCTCAGTGGTTTTCTTTAAACATGAAGAAAGTTTCCATAAACCTTTGTTCTTATATCCTATATAATTTCAAAGCTAGAACTACATGCCCATCTCTGCCAAATTATGGGACTTTCGTAAGATGGATTTTGGCTCCTCCTTTCACTAAACTTGCACAAACTTTGTCTTGTTTCTCTTTAGGAACAGATAATTCCTTGGGCCCTATATTTTCAAAAAGTGCAAGATTAGATGAGTGTAGTCTTTCCCCAAAGGCATCACTATCTTTATACCATGTCTCACACTCTCTTTTTAGTATACAGTGTGGTCCCAATATTACATTGTAGTGTGATCATTTTCTCATCAAATTATATTGTATCTTTATGTTCTACTTGGTCTTTTTCATTAATCTGCATATGGGTAGTCAGTAATAACTAAGGGACAGAGTCAATATTAAATAGTCTTCAAATATCTATCAGAACCAAACAAAAAAACGAACAATAACTAAAACAAAACAAAAGAATAGAACAAACAAGCAAACAAACAAACAAAAAACCCTCTCTAGTTTAGCCTCAAGCTGAATCTTAGAACAAGTGCAAAATCCATACACATTATTTGTCAAAATATGACAAGAATGGTCTCTAACACAATTGGTAATATTTTCCCCTCCAAAACCTCTCAAGCTGGGCTATCAACATGCACAGTACTTTCAGCACATTTGTCCTTAAAGATCCTACTAGAATAACTGATTAATCTCTACTTACAGCTTTCTACCACTATCCTACCTAATCCAAAGGCACAGTCTTTGACATTTCTTCAAAGGCAACCAACCAACCAAAGAAACCTAGAATGGCCAGGACTTTTACAACCATACCTCACTCCTAGTACCAACTTCTATATCGGTTACTTTTCTATTGCTGTAAGGAGACACTGTGACCAAAGCAACTTACAAAAGAAAGCTTTTCATTTAGAGGCTCAGGGTTATATAAGTTTAGGGTTCATAACTATTAGTCAGGAAACATAGCAGCAGGTAGACAGAGAAGGAGCTATGAACTTATGTCTGATTCTCAAGAGAGAGGGGGCGGGTAGAGGGAGAGGGAGAGAGAGAGGGAGAGGAGCAGGGAGAGGGAGAGGGAGAGGGAGAGGGGGAGGGAGAACGCATGAACAGAAAATTGTATGTGCTTTTGAAACCTCAAAGCAGATCAGAAAATGATATATCTCTATTCAGAAGGCAGCTCCTAATACTTCCCAAACAGTTTCACCAACTGCAAACCAAACATTCATATATATGAGCCAGTCATACCATTCCCATTCACTCTTCCACACAGTAACAGCTGCCTAACTAAAGTAGTGACTTAAGAATAGTTTTCTAATGTATTACAAGATAATAGCATATTAACTTCTGAATCCGATCTTCAGGAATCAAAGCTGAATTTCTAAGAGCATTTACATGGAATGTGGTACTCCCAATTAGAAAGAGAAAATTATTCTAAATATGGAACTATCTTTTATTATCCTCCATACATCTACTCTTTAATTTTGTCTATCACATTGTAGGTACTAGAGGGCTGACATTCAATTTCTCCCTGACCTCAGTCTTTTGATCTCTGATATCTTTGGGGATACTACCAATGGAAAGCATTGAAAGGAATTTCAAGAATTTGTAGCAGGGTAAGATCAGGGAATTGATTCCCTCACTCTCCTATTGAAGAATTATAACTTGTTTACTACTAGTGAAGGTCAAGACTTGTAATGGGCAGCCTGTACCATAAACAACTCTCTCTGGGTTCCAACTATCATTCTGTACTTCCTCCATAGATAAGCTGGTTATTTCCACTACAGGGCATCTAGAAAACTTCTGAATTGCTGCATACCTTGCTAAATCACTTGGAATGACTATGGCATCTATTCTCTAGCAACAGACAAACTGATATTTTTGTTTCTTTCTACTCTATAATTTTCATATTCTGAACAAAATGCATATATATTCCTGAAAATAAAAAAGCAACAAATAATGTAAATTTTAGGAAGCAATTTAGGAACATTTAAGAAATTTGTATTTGTATTTTAAAACAGAATAGCAATGGCATCTCAAGAAAGAAATTCATTCATGTTGATATTTATATTCTGTAGGCCCTTGGGGGCTTTGTGTAAATTGTCTCATTTATGCAAAGGTAATTTTCTATTTCCGTATTTTACAAGTGACATAAATCAGTCTTTGTTATACACTGAGCAAGTAAAGCAGCAGTCAAAGATTGAACCACTTAAATATAATCAGCTGTTAAATTATACACATCAATAAAGAAGATACATTTATAACACATGAAGAAGGAATTTCTTCCTCCTCTGGAAAGGTATATTATATTTTCTCTTTAAAAATAGTAAAGAATTACCGAGCAGGTATTACACATCTCACCATCCAGCAAAGTACTTTAAGAAGCAGTTTAGTGGTAGAAGTAAATGCAGATTATTTGCAAACATACTATATATTTAAATCTTTGATTTTGGACTATAAAAAACTGGTAAATGTTTTAGATACCATTTATATATTACAGAAAATAATATCTCTGTCTTATTAGGATAGCATCTATATCTATATATCTATATCTATATCTATATCTATCTATCTATCTCTATATCTATATATATATAATATGATGGAGTACCTAGATATCACCATGCTCAAAGTTATATCCCACTTAATAACATTTAAATATTCTACCATCTTAAGCATTGTACATAAATAACTTGATCACATACAATAAAATAATAGTGGTTATCAAAAGAAATTTTTCATGTGTTACAATAATACATGTTAGAATATTTCCATATTTGGGTGCTTCAGACTGATGAAGATGTGGCTGGAATACCCTAGAATGAAAAACGATGTTATGAGACCTACGCTGTATACAGGACCACACCCAGTCAGGTGATCCTGTTTGTCACCTTCCTGATATTACTCACTATATGATTTAAGTTGAACAATAAAATCTCTTATACTCTCTGCCAGGAAGGAAACCCAATACATCTAATGGAAATAATATTGCATTGGAAAAGAAAGACACTGGCATATCACTTCAATTAAAATTACCAATATATACGTTTTTAAATCTTGATATTAGTTCTTTGTGACTTTCTCATTATTCACCCCAATCCCATTCATATACCCCTTCCCTCTTACCCAACCTCCACTCTTGCAACCTCCCCACTAACCCGGAAAAAAATCTCTCTCTCTCTCTCTCTCTCTCTCTCTCTCTCTCTC